TGTTATCCTTGAAGCTAATAGTGTCTTTTTTTTTTTAACTTTTAGAAGATTTGTATATTGCTAATTGTACCTTTCATACATAGCTTTTCTTGTACACCTTCAAAGAATTCTTCCTATTTATATTGTAATGATATTTAATGTGTATATAGTTCTACCATGATATTTGATGAATGTAATCTAAGCTTGAAATGATACATTTGAAAAGAAAAGTTCTCATACAAGTGTGGATGACACTTGGACCTTACTAATAAGATTGTCTAGGAAATGAGACTAAATAATGAAACAAAGACATGGAAATGTAGAAAGAGAATCTATGAAAAGCTTGGTGATTTCCTATTACTAAAAGTATAAAAGGAAAGTAAATAATGTGTATCTTAGCCTTGATCTCTAGCCCCTATCTATAAGTTAGGGTATAGGTATGGCTTCATAAGAAATGTCATATTCAAAGTAAAATCATTAATTACAATTATATTTTAATGAAGAGTTTTCATAAAATAAAGATATACCAGAAGTGGCTTTTAAGGATCTCTAAAATTTTCAAAATATGAAGTGGGCTCACATGAATTCACTCATGACTTCACCTTTGGTTTAATCCTTGCGATTCTTTCTGCTAAAAGGTCTAGATAAATATTCTTAGTTAGCCTCTAGGTCTGAGAAGTTGGGTGAGATCCCATGTTGAAAGCTTTGGGTGGATCTACTTAATTGGCCTTTGGGGTTGAGTAGATAGATGAGATGATACCAATCATTTACACTACCTTAATCTTGGATCAATTAGATCATATTGGTGGTTACTAGTTCACTTTAGTCTTAAATTCTTGTCACTAAGCATCTTTATATTGATAGCTTAATGATCTTTTACTTCTTCACCTGAACTTGACCAAAGAAATTTTATGTTTACAAGTTGAATGGTGGAACATCACTAGTAGATAAAGTATATATTTTAATAATAGTTATTTCATTAATTTGATATTTAAGTTTAAGTTATGGCTATTTGTATGGGCATGCGCTATGTTGTTGGTTAGTTATTGCATATGTAAATTGTAATTAGTTTTTTTTTCCTTTCCATTAGTTAATGGTTTTGATATTTTTAAAATATTGCCAAATACTCTATTAAGCCAAATGTATTTTATTCTTTATATTTATGCTTATATTTTTTCTTATAAATATTTATATATGAAACTTTTTCTCTTGAATACAAAATTATTTTATTTGATCATAACTTGTGAGGGTTGTTACTTGAGTTAAGATTAGTCCCTACTTCATTTCTCATGTTGTCAAAATGTAATATTTTTTCGAATGCAAGTGTGATATTTATTATTTACACTGTGTATTTTGGGGGCAGGTAGTGAGGTATTTTATGGCAATCATAGAAAGAGTGAGTAAAAGAGCAAGGGAAATCTATAGACTTATTTTTAACTTTAGAATTTCAAATCTTATAATTATATAACTTCAAATCCTAGGGGCTCTTATGAGGACAATCTCACCATTTGACATCAATGAAACGAGCACCAATTAAATAAAATAATCATAGGATTGAAGAGAATGAATGATTAATAAGAAACATTAAAGGCCTGAGGAGGATCTTGATCTCAAAGTAGTATGACTTAAAAAGACCTAAGAGCTATGAATTGCAATTTCTTGATGATGTGTTGGAGAAGATAAGTTGAGATTATGATGGCATTGACTGCAAATAAGCAAGTTGAAAAAGAAAAGATGGTTTCTTTTAAAATTCTAATGAATGCCTTCTCTAATTCATACATAGGAGTTTTAGAGAAGATGCATTGAGAGCTAAAAACATTTAGACTATCGGGGGGTTGAGAAGGAGAATATGTCAACCATCAAGACCTAATTCTTAGTGTAATTTTAACAAGTTCACATTGTCACAATGCTTTCTACCTCTAGCAACTAAGTTGTTGAAATTAAAAGCGATTGAAGTGCATAATAATATATGAACAAAAAAAGACTAGAGGCTTGAAGTATCATAGCCTAATAAATAAATATATTTAATATATAAATATTTAATAATTAACCACATAAATTATATTTAAATTTTTTTATTGACTAGTATTAAAACCATCATTAAACTATTATGGCTGTAGACCAAGGAAGGCTGGACTGGTCGGCCCATCAGGTAGTGGAGGTGGTCAAACTTGGAACCAAATCCAGGGTGATTTCAGTACCCATTGTGGGGCCCAACAAAGCAATAATTTATTATATTAGGAGGGGAATTAAGGAGGGAAAGATCTCCTATTTGAATTCAAATTGGAGAGGGAAATCTATAAGGAAAGAAGGCTGATTTGGGGACTAATTTGAAGTAGATTAATTATGAGATGTTTTCTAATTAAAGAGGACTGATTTGAAGGGGATTAATTATGAGATATTTCCTAATTAAAGAGGGTATATTTGGGGGATAATTTGGAAAAGATTAATTAGGAGATGTTTCCTAATTGAAGATGAAAGATTTTGGGGTTTATATAGTAGAGAAATGGAGGAGGGATATTTTGGTATTCATTCTTTATTGTTAGCTATAAGTAGTAGGGTTTATGTTATGTTTTATATGAAGATTTTTGTTTGGAGATTTGTTGTCTACAACTTTTTGTGAGGAATCCTAGTGGAATTTAGGGTTTGGGAGAGATGGTCCTCCTCTCGAAAGAAGACCATTGTATCTTATTTGTTTATATTTCTTTTCTTATCAATAAAAATCTATAGTTTGCTGAATTTGTATTGGTTCGTTGGCTATTTCATATCAAATTGATATTATAACACTTTTTTGGGATATTTGGTGGCAAAGAAGGTGGTGTTTGAAGGAAAAATGGAGCAAATTAAATTTTGGTTGATGGATAAGTTCGATCTCAACCATCAAAGGAAGACATTCATCCAAGGATGGAAGGCTCTAATCCATAGAGAACCGCTTTGAAAACTTGGAAGGTATGATGAAGAAAATGATCGAGATGTAGTTGAAAGTTTCATTGACAAGGGATGAACCAAAGAGAGGAAATTCTGGAGGAGATGATGAGAAAGCTCGTGAAGATGCAAACCAAAATTTCACCGACGGTTCCAATTACTAACCCTAACCAAGATTTGACCAAGACCCCCTTGGTTGAATCTAAGAGAAAAGAGATCGCATGAAAGGGGTTCGATGAGGAGAGTTTCATCCATGAAAAGCCTCCTCCTAGGGCTCTGATAAATGGTGGATCAGGATTTCTTGAACGGGGGACAACGAGGAGGAAATTGTGTGGGGGAGGTGGTGGTGTGGCTAATGATTATGGGAGGCATTTCGGGCAATGAGATTGGATGACCAGAGATGGAGAGGGTTGAGCTAAATCATGGGATCATGTCATGTAAGAATGGATGGAAGACATGTGAGAGTTCCACCCTCGATACACTGCCGAAACATAGAGGGGTCACGATAACCACTACACTAGAGGAAAAGGTTATTGTGGTGATAGCTATCATAGGATGAGAAAATTAGGATGTTAATATTTGAAGGGGATGATGCATATGGGTGGGTGTACTAGGTGGAGATGCATTTCATGATGAATGGGTTGAATGAGGAGGAGAAGTTTATGGCTGGAGGGTTATGGCTGGAGGGGAAAGCTCTAGCTTGGTTCCAACGGATGATAGCATGACCATTAATTGAGTTGCTGAACAAAGCCACAAATAACATCCCATCTTTCCACCTTGAGGACAAGGAGCATCTTTGGGGGTGGTGGTGGGGGGAAGTATTGTTACGACTGCAGGCCAAGGGAGGCTGGACTAGCCGACCTTGCATGCAATGGAGGGCGCGAAACCTGGAACCAAATCCAGAGATATTTTGGCCCACCTTGTGGGGCCCAACAAAGCAATAATTCATTATGTTAGGAGGAAAATTAAGGAAGAAATTAATTAGAAAAAGATCTCCTGTTTGAATTCAAATAGGAGAGGAAAATTTATAAGAAAGAAGGCTGATTTGAGGGCCAATTTGGAGAGGATTAATTATGAGATGTTTCCTAATTAAAGATGACTAATTTAAAAGGGATTAATTATGAGATATTTCTTAATTAAAGAGGAAAAATTTAGGGGTTGATTTGGAAGAGATTAATTAGAAGATGTTTCCTAATTGAAGAGGGCAGATTTAAGGGCAAATTCAAGGCTGATTTGGGAGAGAATTTTAGTATAGCTATTTTGATTTTTTTTTTGTTTATTATTTGCTATAAGTAATATGATTTATATTATATTTTGCATAGAAAATTTTGTTTGGAGAATTGTTGTCTATAATTTTTGTGAGGAATCCTAACGACATCTAGAATTTGAGAGAGATGGTTCTCCTCTTAAAAGAGGACCATTATATCTTGTTAGTTCGTATTTTTACTCTTATCAATAAAATTCTGATATTTGTTGAATTTGTATTGGTTCGTGGGTTATTTTTGATACCAAAGCATATCATAAACCTAATATCAAACCTTTAACAAGTTATTTGTTCAAACATATTGTTCATGAATGCAACTAAGCAAAAGTCAGATTCTGTTTAAGTTTGAACCATTCAACCCCCCAGATTTTACAAAACGTCTAAACAATCAATTACTAGAAGACGCTTGGACGAGTATTAATGAAACCAAATTTAAGCTTTTAATTGAGCACATTAGTTCACTTATACCCCTAATCATATTCATTTTGCATGCATTTATTTTACATTTTACTTCAAAATACAAAAACTAAATAAACCATTTTAAATATCTTGAAATAGTAGAAAAAGCCCAAGGAAACCTAAAAAATTAACTCAATATGCAAAACACATATTCTCATACTACCAAGACAAGTTTTGATATTTTACAAAGCAATTCTAGTTTTACTATATAACAATCAAGGTAACGGTCATATGATCAAATGCTAAAAACATCCCTCGCTCTCCTTCATAAGCCGCAACGCCCTCACTACGTCTACTGAAGATTATTACCCAAATCTGTAGATTTACTGTCATCCCTTTATAGACTATGAAACAAATATATGAACATTTTGGCTCTGAAAATGGACATAAATCTGTCCAAGCACTGTATATCTATGAGAATAAACTGCTATAAATTACTGTTTTGTATATAAAAAAAAAAAATTTACATGATAATGATGAAGTTTCTCAGCTAATTTAGGTTTTTCATTTGGGATGGTTTTATTACTGCTTCTCAAAACAACTTTTTAGTTAAAAAAATTTAACTTTTGTATTACAAAACAGCTTTAAGCAGCAATAAGAAAGCCATCCCAAAGGAAGACTTGGTTTTTCAGCTAATTATCTCCTTTAACGCTTTGCTTCAACAATCTCAGGTTCAATCTCGTTCAACATGGGATCCTTAGTACTAAAAACATACTGAAGCTGAGTCCCCTCTGATTTTTGTCCACTCAAAGCTTTGCTAAGCCTTTTCCCCTTCATCTTCACCTTCTGAGCCCATCCCACAAGACCCTCTTGCACGTGTTCCTCAAATATAACTGGTTTAAACGAACTTCCCATCTAAACACAAAAAGATGTCAGCTTAGATCTTCTTAGGCTTCGTTTGGGACGGCTTTTTACTGCTTCTTGAATCAGCTTTTTAGTTAAAACATTCTTATAAGTTAAAAAATTAAAATTTTTGTACTAAAAAACTGCTTCAATAAGCAGTAAAAAAGACATCCCAAATAAAACCTTAATCATTCTGGAGGAAAAAAAAAATGTAATCGTTTTGAGAAATGCTGCTCACCTGGGTGACGATTGCATAAAGAGGTAAGGTACTGTAGCTGCAAATGATCTGTACCACTACACTGTGATCAAGAAAGATGAATGACTTCAGACTTCAGACTTCAGGATATATATATATATATATATATATGGCTGGGTACAGAATAAGAGAGGATTCTTGAGTCTAGCTACCAAATTATGAGCCTCGGGACGATGTACTTGGTTCCATCAATGATGCAGGAGCGGTATCCGTATGTTACCTGCGTATTAATAAGAATGATAAATCAGATAGAATTCATACCTTTTTATTTAAGGGTTAAAGTGAAACAGGTGATGGAATGAAATGTAGCTTTTCCTGGAAAAAAAAAATTTGCGTAAGGATATTCTACCAGAAATCTTATCTCCAACCGAAAATCTCCTTTTTCACTCCAAAATGCCGTGAAACTAAAAAATGTTGTGATTCATCTCCAATCGAACTCCATTTTGTCCCATAACGGTCGTTCTCTTCTTTCGAGCATTTCTTCGGCAAGTTCAGTAGAGACCAAAAAATGGCGAAGGTGAACAGTGCAACGCCAATAATGGCGTCGCACTATTCATCCGCGATGAAATGGCGTAAAAATTGCCACTCGGTTGGAGCGACGGAAGAACGTCGTTTCATTGGAGATGCTCTTAATATAAATTCAAGGATTTTGAAATCCATCATGCCATAAAATGCATATACTCCAGCAATTTTTTTTTTCCTTTTCCTAGGATGATCAATTTTCAATTACTACAAAACAGTTGGTGAGTGTAGAAGCTTGTGCTTACCAATATCCAAAAGAAATATGCAATCTCGAAAGCAACATGGAAGAGGATCAGGTGAATTAAAATGAGCATAATGCGAGGACGACCAAACCAGAAATGGTCGTCTGAAGGGGTAACCACCAAATCTCCTTCGATGGCTGAATGTTTTTCAGCAACTTCATGAGCCAACTGAGAGATGATATGCACCAACTTGGTACCAACGGAGAAAAGGAGCTGCAAACGTGTGATGGGCATCACTATCTTAGTATCTTAACAAGAAAAGAATCAGAAATTAACGAGTTTCAACATGAAGACATCCAAATTTCAAATGAATACTCTGGGAATGGTAGTCCTTTGGGAGAAAAATGCATCATTGATGGAACATAATCGCTAGTGCCTAATATGATTCAAGTCCATTTCAACAAAGCGGAATGCCTCGGCCCCCATGTTGGTGGGACATAGCCGTTCTTCTTATATAAAACATAAAAGCAAATATTTGATTTGCTGGCAAGGTATGCCATATTTACATGACGCTAAGAACAAAAATGGCCCTTCTGCTTATGCAGAAAGTACTTAGAAAAGAAAATTCCATCAGTAACACTGGCATATGCATCATGTGTAGAATTAAAATAACAAAAAATTATGTATTTACTTATTTATTTAGAAATTGTTGAAAAACCTAAGTAGAAAAGGCACTAAACTGGTTTCTTTCACGCGTGTATTTTGGTGGGGTGAACTATCTCGTGCTCCAAATTCCTTTTTTTTTCCTCGGTTATTACATGCCAGCAAAATTCCTACAGAAGCTAGTAAAAGTTTCTAAGGTTATAAGAACCATATCTCAGACTCCTACCGCTAGTTTAATACCTTTGTGTACTGCGTTGAGTACAGGCTTGATAATTGCGTGGTGGTAATTTGCTAATCGTTTGGAAAACCTAAATTTCTTATTTATCATTAATTATGGCATGTGCATCACAGCTCTATTGATACCATCTCCAAAAAGTCTAAAGCAAAAGAATCAAACACATGGAATGACAAGATGACTCATTTTAGGGATGTCAAGCATATTAGTGGTATATCTAGCAGTTTGACAAAGGCATTTTGAACACGTTTGATTTAATCCTAAACACAGCAGAACTTGATGCTATCTAAGTGATATTTCCGTTATCTTTACCTGTAATTTACTATTTATTTTCATGTACAAGGCAAATCTTCTTGGGAGTTTGGATTTCTTTGGTTCATGAAAATTCAGGTATTTACAGACAAGGGGTTGGACCTGATGAAGAGTGGCAATAAAGGAAAATATATTTGGCTCAAATGATTAAAATGAAGAAAAGAGCTTTCTGCTAAGCAGCAACAGCAGCTGACAAATCCAAGAGATTCAGGTTGGCTTTACAAATCCTTTCTCGCCATCCACTCCTGTTAAGGATTGTGATTCTAAAAACTCACCCTTGTTTCCAGTAATCTCAAGGTTATGTTTTTTTTCCTTAGAAGCAACAATCTTTTCACGGTTCATTTGACTGATTTCCTAGAGCGGTAGAGCCTCAAGTATCCTTTTATTTATTCAGTCATAAATTGAGAATTTAACCAAGTAGATCTATCGTAAGACAGTTGGTAATTCCGTATTGTTAAGCATGCGTTCATGAATAAGAAACTTTTCATAAAGAAGTGTGCTAGCTATGAAGAACTTCACGTTATCTCATCAAACAAGCAGAAACTTGACTTGGAAAAATTGAAGAAAGGTAATAATTTTTTGCGCATATAAACATTTCATATTTCTTAATGACTTTTAATCTAGTCCATTTTATGAAGTACTTTGTTAAAGCTTGGTTGTACTACGACTCATTTGGTCTTAATACTTGGCAAAGCTAATCGGGCCAAAATTTAAAATTACTGCAGGCCGGACAGACCACACACTGATTGTGGTTGGGAATTTAAAGTGGGCAAACAAAAGAAAATGCTTGTGATTACCCCCAGCTTTTAGACTGTTTCATGCAATAAGCACTGTTAATTGCAAGCACTACATAGTTTTAAATCGGCAATGCTAAAAAATAATTAGGGTTACTTACGATCAAAGGTATGAATGATAACCAAAAGTATGCATGCCAACCTGCAAAGAATGATAGGATAGGTGAGAATGATGGTAAAAACATGATTAAAAGTAGAGCTTAGAACTTAAAACTTTAAGTGAAAACCGATTAAAACTAGTTATATCCAGAACCAAAATCAGTCATGTTTAACGAGATAAAAATTAAATGCAAACAACATTCATACACTAATGTACAACCATATCCATCTACTTTAGATTAATCAATTAATTATGAGAAATTGAATTGGGTTCAACAAGTCTTTGATTGTGAAATGGCTTGGACTGCCTACAAATCTAACAAGATGCCAATCTCATTAAGTTGGCCAAGAATCAAATCTTAGTCGACCCTCATTGCTAAAGAAACCCATCAAAGGAACTCATGAGGCTATCCATTCACCAAAGCTTTCCTAGCATATTCACTAGTCGACGAGATGATCTTGTAAAAAATAACTCACAAAGCATATTCGCCATCAATTTGAAACTTGCTCGAGATTCCCGACTAGCAGAAACCTCCAAGCAAGACTTACTTGCCACACAACAAGCTACACCAAAATGAAATTATGTACTTCTTATGTAATCATATTAAGTGAATAATTCTACAACACATACCTTGATCCTCACCTATAACAATGGAGTGAGTTAGTGGTCAAGTGTAGGCACGATACAATCTCATATCTTGAACCAAAACTTTATCTCACTGAAGTCTCTCATAATCTTTCTAGGATTCTCTTCAGAATCTCTCTTTTCTTGATAGTCTCTATGTAACTTGGTGCGGCCACCATTCTTTGTCAAAAGTATTTGAACAGGTCTTTCGTAGACCAATTTACTAATAAAATCATTGAGACCACCTCCCTCACATCCCTTTAGCTCTATGGATTGGATCTATATCTTTACTTAAGTATTGATATATTTCCACATACAGGATTGGGGGTCATGATAGTGAAAAATACCCAAGGCAAAGAACTAAATCATGGAGCATCATGAAGAGAGAGAAAGGTCCTTGCACAACAAGCAGTCTAATAATTGCGTGAATTTTGAATAATTGCAGAACGTGGAGGATCATCTTACAATGATGATTCAAAGGATTTTTGGGAGCTTTTCGTATACTGATCCTCTTGCTCGTTTCCTTCAAGAATACAAATATAACGTCTCTCCTCGGTGCAAACTCCACCACAGTTTAAGAGTTGCTAAACTCTTCTAGATGATGAACCCTATCTCCATGAAGAGAGTATAACAAAGATTTCACTCCCTTGTTGACCAACAAAGCATTAGGCTCAACCTATGAAATGCCTTTCAATTCAAATTGCAAAGGCTTTGATTCCATCAAAGCTTTGGATGTCAAACTTTTATTCTTATAGAGGGAAGTCAAACCCGACCAACTAGGTCACTCATTTCAAGTCAAGTATCTCTCATTATTGGTGACGCAACAAAGTATCAACTCTCCTTATCAATTTCAAGAAAGTGGCATTGTTGTGGTCATTGTGCATTGCTCTGAGAAGCAACACCTCTAATTTCAAGCGACATTTTATTATGTAAGTTGTAAGCATCCAATAATCTTGAAGAATTGGCAAAGCTTTGTTGGCTGAAGAACTCACATGATTTGTTAAACATGAGGCAAGAGTCTAATTAGTCTGTCTACTACTTGATTACTCATTTCCATTGGGAGATGCTAAATGTTCAAGATCTGGAGTTTGTTGTAGTTTGGGCAACACTTACCCAATGCCTCCAGGAAGGTTCATTTTAGTATACTCACACTAGAGGCATCTATAACTTGACATGACAACTTGATGCAAACTCAACACAAAATTTGGATATCTCGAATACAATACGAGTCAAGTTTAGATCTAAAATATTAATGCATTTAATATTCAAGTTGAGTTCGAGTTGAATCGAAAATCTAAAATCAAGACACAAAATCAGATTAATTTTCCTATATAGAATGAATATTCTCTTCCTATCTAAAATGAATATTCTCTTTGATTAGTCAGCAAATTTCATTTGCCTCAACCGATCATATTTAGGTTAATTATGGTGTGTTGAAATAAAAAATTTTATCGAACCATATAATATGCGGGTCACACATGTTAGGACCGCATCAAGTTAGATTTAGACAAGACATTCTAACCCATTTAATAAATCAATGGGACAAGCTTGGGTAAAGCAATTTCAAGTCGATTCAAATTTGGGTCATATTCGTACTCCACATTAACCTAAATAGAGAGACCTAACACAAATCTTACAATAATTGAAAGCATTGACTATGTTACCCAAGTTGGTCAATAATTACATCAATACAGGGGAAAATGATTGCACAACCTTGGCTTCAACCTCTAAGCTGGATCATTCCAAACCCACAATGAGCATGAAATGGCACGCTTGGGATCATAAGTGAAAATTCCACAATAACAAAAATAAGTAAACTTAAAATTCATATCATCGCCATCAACAATATAATACAAAGGTTTCTCTCCTAAGAAACTTGAAAGGGACATTTTGGCCTACAACCCCCAAAAGTGTAAGGTCACCTCAATCTTAAAGGCCATCGAAATACTGCCAGTGACCATCGAAACACTGCATATTTCATAATGACTGTAGTCACAACATGACTTGTCGCTATCTCTGCGGCCTAGTTGAGAAGCTTATTAGCATCGACAAGTTGGAAGAGCTCATCCTTATTGACTTAGATTATGATTAGATAAAGTGCTTGTTCTTTAAGGAAAAGATGGTGCTACAGCACGAACCCCGCTTTCTTAAACCTAAGGTTCCATTTTTCCTGAGGTAGATTGGATTTTAAATTAACCAGATTTCCTCCAATGATTGGCATCATAATTTATTTATTTCTGGGGTTTCACTTCCTATGTGCACAAGCCCTCATAGTTAATTACTCATCCTAACGCATAGAAGAGAACTCTCGATTAAAGATAAATCAATGTTTAGACATGCAATAGTTTTAAATTTTGGTGGTGGGGGATGAAGGTAGATGCGATAAAGATCTCATGGTTCCATCATATCAGGAATACCGTAGATTTCAATCTACCAACACAAATAATTATTGATCGTAATGTCCAGGGAATTTTATTAGCAGACATTGATTGCCTCCTCTAAGGGATTCCGAGTAAACTGAAGTGGACAAGATTGATTTTAATTTTAATATGATTTGGGGTTTACATTTGTTAGAATACCCAGTATTTAATTTAGTTTGGGATTTATGACTTCATTTAGAAGTTAACCAGTTACTTGATTTAGATTTGGGGTCGGGGCTTATGGTTTTCATTAAAATTAGCCCGTATAGCGGGTCTTACTATTTCCCTTAGAAGTAGCCAATATAACGGGTCTTATAGCTTCACTTAGAAGTGTCCCGCATAGGTTTAAGAAGTTTTGAGAAGAGAGTCTTATGGATTCTATTAGAGGTAGCTCATATGGTTTAAAAGATTGAGTCTTACTTCCTCCATTGAAAGTAGCCCGCGTAGCAGGTCTTATGGCCCCTATTAGATGTTGCCAAGATTATCAGGAATGTGATATTTGTTCTAGGAAAGTTTTCCCTAACAGCCTAATTAAAGTGGGTCTTACAACTTCTATTAGAGGTGGCCCGTATATTTGGGTTAGGGAGGATTCAGCATAGCAGGGCTTTAGTAGCAGATATTTAACTTTGCATTTGAGTGGGTCTTACTATTTCTATTAAAAGTAGCCTATGCGCTTCAATTAGAAACTTCTCCTAGTTTGTTTGGAATGGGGTTGATTACTCCCCTTTTGGAGGATTTGTTGCTCCCCTTGGGATAACTTTATATGGGAGGTTATGTGCATTAATTTAACTGGGATTTATCCTGCTATAGCTAGTAGGTGCCTATTAGGCTAGCTTTAGACTAGTTACACACCCTATCATCTGACACCAATCCTTTCTACCCTAGTTTTTAGTAGTTTACTATAGTTTTGCTTGTAGTAATGCTCGTAGCTTTCCTACTTTAGTAGCTTGTCTTTTTGCTTTAGTAGTGTTGCTTGTTCAGTACCCACTTTTTTCTTTCAGTACTAGTTCTACTTTAATACCATCTTGTTTTAGTACTAGTGATGCATTTTGTTTACTTGTTTACAGGGGTTCGTGGCTAACAGTTACAAAAGCTAGAGTTTGTAGTTGCAAGGTTTGCAATGAGCTTTGGAGTTTGCAACAGCCTGAGCTTAGGTCTCTTAGGGTTTTGGAGCTTTCTTTTATTATTTTTTTTTTCCCTTTCTTTCTTTCAATTTTTTGCTTTCTTAGCTTTCGAGGGTTTAGGTTTTAGTTGGTGTGTGTTGTACTTAAGTTTATATAGTGCGAACATTATTATTTTATTATTCTTTAATGTATTTTATTAAATTCTGAATTAATTTTTCATAATTAATTAATTAAGTTAATTTATTAAATTTAGTCTTAATTAATTCATTAATTGAAAGATTTAAATTTTATTTTTAAATTAAATGCTTAGCTCATTGGTATTTTAAAATTATTTAATTATTAATTAAATTTTTAAGTTAGTTGCTTAATTAATTTAATTAATTTCAATGATTTAAAAATTTAATCAAATGGTTTATTAATTAAATATTAAATAAATTATTTTTGTTTTACTTTGAAATGAATTAGTTTAATTAAATTAAAGTTTTAATTAGGTTTTAAATTAATCAAATATTCAATTAAATTTTAATTTTACTTTAAAATTAGTTAATTAGTTGATTAATTAGGTTAATTAAAATTTCAATTGATTAATTAATGTATTTTATTATTAAATTTCTCTTGCTCAATGTGCAATGTCCTTCTAGGATTCTTGTGGTGGCCAACCAAGAGGTGTTCACCTAGGATTTCTTAAGTCATGCTTACGAGTCTTCCAAGTCATTACTCTCTATGCTTAAGGTTATGGATCTTTGGCCACTTTCGGTGTTTAGTTTTCTTAGAGGATTTTGAAGACTTCATAGTAGAAGAAGACTTCATGTGAGGTAATTTTTGTTGTCAAATTAATTATATGATTTCTTCTTTATTTCCATGTTGGTGCATT